AGAACTACAAATACTTATATATATATATATATATATATATATATAATATGATTGGATTCTAAAGTTTCCAAAAAAAAAAAAAATTCCCTAGGTTAGTGTTTCTTATGACAAAGTAAATGTATAGTATGGTCCACAAGGAGCATAATATATACGCTCATAATAGATTAGTATATAAATGTAATTTAAAAAAAAAAAATAGTTTGATAGGACTGCAGCCCTATCAAAATAAGTAAAGCCTCACCTCAAAACACATCGAAGAATTATAGTTCTCTCATTAAAAAAAATTTATATCGATCATCTCAATGTGAATAGTGTGGTTGTGAACAAAATTAAGATTTTAACTCCGTTCTAACAAATTACCTAGAAAGGCCATTTTACTCCAAAAATGGTTGTTCATAGATCCAAAAAGTCTGTACTATTTTTTGATTTTTAAATTAATTTTAGCTCCATGATGGAGATTTTATTGTGAAAAGTGCTTTCAAGATGAAGATTTGAGGTGAGGCGTTATTTAGTTTTCATAAAGCCTAAGCTTTAAAGAAATTTCAACCGACGAAGAAAATGGTTTGATAGGGAAAAAGGGGGCGTAGATGAGTATATATTGATTCTTAGTTGAGTAAGATGTAAGCTTTGGAATGCAACGAGCGCCCGCCCACGGAGAAGGCGTGGGGCATGTGTTCCCGCCGATTGCGAGTTCCCCCTTTTTTTTTTTTTTTTTTTTGTAGGACCAAAAAGACGCCGTCTCTCTCTCTAAAACGGCCTAAGGTGGGACATAAATCAAAGAAAAATGCCTCTCTCTCTAAAACGGCCTAAGGTGGGACATAAATCAAAGAAAAATGCCGGCAACCACTCACTAGAGGGAGTTAGAGAGAGAAACTCATTTGTGACTAAAAAGAATGCATTGTTAGAGAGAGAGAGCATGCAGCCGTTTTGTAATAGAGGTTTAGCACGTTTCATAGTGTTGGAGCTTGGCATTGAGGGGAGGGGTGGGGGTTCGAAGAAGTAACGTTTATTGTTAGACTTCATCATTTCTTATTATTTTCCTCTTTTATTCGCTGCCAGTTAAGCACTATCATATATGGGCAGTTAAGCATCATACTCTCCATAAATTTTAAAGCACATTCCACACACAACAGAGAGAAAATATAACCTGAAGAGAGAGAAAGAAAGCACGATTAGAGAGAAGATATAACCTGAAGAGAGAGAAAGAAAGCACGACTAGAGAGTAGAGAGAGAAGATATAACCTGAGAGCATAGGACTAGAGACCAAGGGCATATAACCTGAGGGAGAAAGAGCATAGGACTATTTCTCAAAAAAACAGAGAGAGCTTAGGACTATTTCCTAGAGAGAGAAAGCATATAAACTGAGGAGAGAGAAAGTGAGAGGACCTCGTATAACCTACGCAACCTTCACGATTGGACATATCAACACTCACAAAATTTAATATTCACCTTTGTACGCATACAATTCTCCCAATCCCTCTCTTTCTCTTTCTCGTCTCACCGAAATAAAAATGAGGCAACGCAAAATTCATTAAACAAGCAAAATAAAAAATAAAAAAGAAAAAAGAGAAAAAAAAAAAAAGGCCGCTTTTGCTCTCGTGACCACCAGGAATCCACAAACATAAAAAAAGAATGCCGCTTTTCATAAACAAACCCTAAAAACTTTCACCTCCCTCCCTCACCATGCTCTCCCCCACCCCTCATCCACCAATCTCACAAACCCACGACAACACCCCTCACTTTCTCTCTCTAAACCCCCCACCACACAACTCTCTTCCCAATATGAAACGCATCTCTCTCCTCGGGTCTCTATCCCTCCTCGCTCTCTACAGTGAGTCCCCATGGACCAAGCGTGACCAGCCCCCCTCTCTCTCTAGAGTCCATATCATTGGTGGTCATTGATCGACTTCTTCCCTGACCCTTGTGTGAACAAGCCCCCATCTCTACATTCATAATCAATTCTTTCTCTCTCTCTCTAGACTCATATAATCAATTCTTTCTCTCGGCCAATTTTCTCTCTCTAAGTGAATTATATAACACGTCTTTCTCTCTAGACTCGTATAATCAATTCTTTCTCTAGGCCAATTTTATCTCTCTAAGTGAACAATATAACATGAAAATGAATGCAACTACCTTTAAAGTTTAAACCAAATGGGACCATCCCCACATCCTCAGGTCTAGGTCAAATAAGGCCAAGCGCCATCACTTTTATCCACCGCCATTGAAGTAATTTCTTCTTTCTCTCTCTCTAGAAGCCAAACAAACCTGACCCACCTCGCTTTCTCAAGTCAAACGAGTCCTTTCTCTCTCTAACGCTCTACCTATCTAATCTCTCCCTTCCAACCATTTCAACACAAATTTAAATCTCTATCTTCCAAGCATTTCAACAAAAATTAAACAAATAGCACCTCTGTCCCTTTTCCCATTGCCTTGCCATCTAAGCCAAAACCAGACTTCTCCCATTGCCTTGCAATCCAAGCCAAAAACCAGACTTCTTGTCCCTCAACGTCAAACTAATGCCCCTCTCTCTAACTCACGCGTTAAGGCACACTAACAAAATGCAACGAATCACTGAAATCACATCGTTCTATCTCTAGCCGCGTAAGGTGAGCAAGACCGACATATATTTTTCCGCGTGTTAGAAAATCTTGAAAATTGACCATATGAAAAAATGTATTACAAGATGTATTATTTCTAAAATTTAAAATCTATTTTTTTTCATGTCCATTCACCTTTAGGTCGAAGTGATTGGTCCAAGGATTTTTAAGTATGAAAACAACATTTTCTAGTGAATTTCTTTAGTGCGTTTTAATTAGATTGTTTAGAATCTCGTCTTGTAAATTTAGACTTCTATTCTCACATTTACCGCATTAAAAAAACCCTTAACGATCTTAAAAAAAAAGGGCTGGGCTCGTCATTCCCTACTAAATCACCCCGAAGAAAAAAAAGATCGGTCCTTCTCTCTCTAATTTGTCACTCGCTCGTTTCTTCCAGTATCTGACGAGACCACCAACCAACTTATGTAGCAAATTCAACCTAGACCGTTTCTCTCTCTACATCTTAGACCCTTTCTATCTCTACCTCTCTCTCTCTCTCTCTCTCTCTCGCACTAATGAGACGAAGACCAACCAGCTCTGTGTAAGGTCAATCGTCACCCCACCCCCTCTCTTTCTCTCTCTAAGTCGGATGACAAGACAGCTCACAACTCTCCCAACCCTCCTCCGACTCTTGGCTCGCTCTCTCTCTCTCTCTCTCGTAGAAGAAAGGCGAGAGAAAGAAACAAATCTAGAGAGAGAAAGAGAGTGTCGACCCAATAAACACTCCCTCTCCATTCCTATATAAACAACTGCTTATCACTTCTTTGGCCCTTGTCGTCTCCCTCCCGGCTCGTAGCCCCCAACGCACAGACACACGCACACACACTCTTTCTCTCTCTCTCTCTACAGTAAAACAGAACACCACCAGAAGGCCCCCAAATAATGCACACCACGCCATAGCCAAACTCCTTTCTATGACTCCCCCCCTCACCCCCAAATACTAAACGTCTCCCGCTCTCATCTTCATTCTCTCTCTAGAAGATGGAGAAGCCGGCCCCGACCCTGGGCTCCCCGACAACGTTTGTCCAGGCGGATGCGCAGAGCTTCCGAGAGCTGGTCCAGAAGCTGACAGGTGCTGGGCCCGATGACTCCTCTGAGAAGCTCCCGATCACTGTCCCGGCGCGCCATACCACCCGCGGTGCTGCCCCATCTGCTGCCCCCGACCCTGTTGGGCCCCGTCGCTCGGCCTTCAAGCTCCACGAGCGCCGGCAGAGCATAAGGAAACTCGAGATCAAACTCGGTCTCACCTCTCTAAGGGGGGAGAGAAACTTTGGTATCTCTCCTCGATCGCCCAGCAATCAGATCTTGCTTTCGCCTACTCTAGCAGAGCTGATCCCGAGTCCGGTCACGCCATTGGGGTCCGACCCGTTTGAGTCGGGGGTTTATAGCCCGGGGTCGTCGGGTCAAGTCTCTGCTCACGGGAGCGAGTCGGAGGAAGAGAGGGCGTTGAAGGAGAGGGGCTTCTATTTGCATCCGTCTCCTTTGAGCACACCCAGGGACACTGAGCCCGAGTTGCTTCCTCTTTTCCCGCTCCATTCTCCGAGGCAGAGCGCGACATGACGCTCTCTAATGACTCGGTCTGGCACTCTCTTCTGAGACACGGTACGGTAAAATGAATTGCCTCTCCGTTTTCCTTTCTTTTTGGACTTTTTTTTTTTGCTGGAACTCTTGTTATTGGGGTTTCGAGATTTCTTTCATCTTTATTTTTTTTTTTTTTCTTTTTTTTTTTTGGTGATGTGGGGGTTGGATAGAAATGATGAATGGGAATCAACTCTCTCTATTCTTCGCTCTCTCTGTCTCATTTTTGGTTTTCTTGTTGAATGAGTTTTGATGGGGGGTTTGATAGGGAGAGTGGAGATAGGGGATGTATGGTTTAGGTTTTGGGGGAGTTTGTGGATTGGATTTTTTATGATGGGTTTGGATTTGAATGGAGATGTGATTATGAGCATGGATGCGAGCGATTGATGTTCAAAATGCTGAATCTTTGTTGGGTTTTGGTGATTGCTGACTGAAATTTGCATTAGAGGGAGAGAAGGGGGTTTCCATGTGAGTTTTGCAGAGAGAGAGAGAGAGAGAGAGTTGTTTGCTCGGTGAATGCATGAGTGGGAGTAATTAGTGATAAAGTAATTTGTAGTTTCTTTTGTATGTGAGAGAAGAAAGGAGATCGTTTCTTGTGGTTGGTTTTGGGTTAGAGGAAGAGAGCCATTTATTGTTTGATTCGTTGTAAACAAGGGAGAGAATTGTTGAGTATGAGAGAGATTAACTGTGGAATTGTTATGGGTTAGAGGGAAAGAGAGGAAGAGGGGTAGGGTTGGTTTTAGGGTTCATGTGCTGCATTTGTGTCTCCGTCCGAGAGAGAGAGAGACTGCATTGCACAATTCAAAGCAAACAAGAGAGAGAGAGAGAGAGAGAGAGAGAGAGAGAAGTAGTGTGTAGTATATACTAACTACGAGAGAGAGAGAGAGAGAGAGGCGCTCCGTTGCTAAACTCCAAGTAAATAATCGAGGGATGATATCTGGCTTTTAATTTTGTCAACACTTACTGATGCGCTGGTAATGATCTCTACATCCCCAATTCCAAAATTTGCTCCAACTATTACCTCTTTGATATGCCAATTTTTCACATTTTCTCTCTATTGCTTTTATCATCACCTTCCTCGTCTTTTTTTATTTTTTATTTCCAATCAATTGAAGTTAGCCATATGAATTTTGATTTGTCATTCTTCTTTATTTAGAGCCATACCATATGTCTTGATATATTTTTGCACTATTTTCAACTCTACGGTTTTGGACTTATCATTTATTTTTATTATTATTTTTAAGCCTTCCACCTGAAGAAACTTGAACTAACTCGCATGACAAGTACTACCATCTCCTTCTCTACCTCTTATTAACAAGTACTGTATTGATAATTCACTTTTCTCTCTATTGCTTTATGAATTTGATTTTCACACTTTTTTGAAATGGAAAGTGAAGGAAGGAAGGACAGTTGCTCACCTAAATTCATGTGATTTATCACCGTTCACCACCCAAAAAGATAAAATTGTGAAAACACAATAAATTACTACCCCAAAAAAAATCACCATTCACCACCCAAAAAGATAAAATTGTAAAAACACAGTAAATTACTACCCAAAACAAAAAATTAACCTAATAAAGTTATGAATTAGCATTTTATTATTTTCAAATTAAAATCTAAATATAAATCTTTTTCCGAAAAGAAAAATCAGAGCCGGTTTCGATCGGCCGACTTTTGCGTCAAGGGGAGGCGTGCCACATCAGCGTGGCCCCCGCGTCCTCCCTAAGTCACCGTGGTCCCCACTTCACGTCTCTGTCGCAGACGGCTACAACGGCGAATCCGGACCGTCGGATCTGCCGCGTGTTCCGCCGTTGATCTCAAGTTGACGCTTCGCCGTCGCGATTAACGCTCGTACACGTGTACACTTGGAGGTGGTCCCCACTTTCCGACTCCACGTGGCGAGCTGGATTTTTTCTCGTTTCGGCAATTTTCCTTGTTTCGGCAAATTATTAATTGCGAATTAATAATTGCTCTCGTTTTCAAATTTGAATTTTGAAATTTCGAGTCGGCCCATCGACTTGTCTCATTATTCGGTTTAGGGTGATAGCCTCTATAAATAACCTTGAATTTATCGCGAAATGTCGAGAACACCCTTACTTGAATTTTAATCCACGTTAAGATTGGATTCGCTTCTTCCACACTTTAAGGGCTAGAATTGTCTTTTTACCTTGGGGAATGTCCTATGGTGTTACAAGCCTATTTGCTACCTAAAACATATCATTGACAATACGAGAGTGGTTTGGAGCATTGTCGAATAAAAAAAAAAATTAGTTGATCGAATTAATCGAAAATTGATTTGTCAACTCTATCAAAATTATTTTTATATTCATTTAACTCTAGTTTTACTGAGCCCAATTTTGATTTAAGACCAGGCAATTGCTTCTCGATCTTTAAGACGAGGCAATTGATTCTCGGTCTTTAAGACTGGGCAGCAGACCGTCGATTCTTGCTCTTTATAACTATGTTCGATAACTGTGTTTTAGGGCCCAGGGTAACTATTGTTTTTGGTTGAAATTTTGTAGCCAGCTTGTCAAAATTCGGCATGATTTTGAATTTTTTGTTATTAAATCTAATTTTTACTCAAAACCAAGGTACCTTCCATCGGTTAGATCATCAATGCCCAATCTTGATAGCAGTGTTCTGGTCTCAATAACTTTGTTTCTGGATTCATTCATGGTGACTTTGGGTTGAAATTTCAAAAGGTATTCACCAATCCAAATTTCGGTGAAATTTCGGGAAGCTGCAGCGCAAATGACGAATTCTTTGAGGACTCGAACGCTTGTGTATCAAGTAACAATCGATCAAATATTAAAATAGTAGAAGGAGAAAGGAACAGATAAGTAAAAAATAGGGCTAAAAATCCAAACTTTACCGGGCGCTGATCCCAAGTGAGGGTCAATAAAATAATGGTTAGGCATCCTTTTGTTCCCATTTCTTTTGCCTTTCTTTTTTCACCCATAATTTCTTGGGGATTGGCCTTTTTCAACACAAATTCCGGCCTTTCCTCTTATTAATGGACTCCCCATTTGACTTTGTCTATGCCACCTCTGGCTTTACTGTTGTCCTTTTTATTGCCCTTCTTTTTCCAAGGTTAGGTTACATGGCCCTCTCTTTCTTAGAAGCTTCACAAATGCCATGCTTTGAATGGTCAAGGAATTTCTTCTTGGCTCCCCATTTTTGGCATGCCTTCTTATCATTCATTTGTGAACACATCATAAAAATTAGCATTGACTTGATAGGGATGGTCTCTCTCTCTCTCTCTCTCTCTCTCTCTCTCTCATATTTAAGAAGGGAAAGTTGGACTCCTACTTGATATCTCAACTCTTTTGGATCTTTCTAGTGACAATCAATAAATATTTAGGCCCAAGATGTGGCCCTTCCTTTTTTTTTATTATTAAGATTCAAACCAATAACTAGGATGTGGCCCTTAACCTGTTTCATGGTATTATGGAAATCGCCTTTTCTTATCCTTTCCGAAACGAGTAAAGGGGTTTGGTCTATAATGAATGAGCAGTTGGTTGAATTCTTAGGTTTTTTAGGCACTCTTAACGCATTAAGCTTTGATAAATTTTACAAATTTTTCCTCCTTTGCAATCTCTCTCTCTTAGGTACACTTAAGTGGGGGAAGATAGGCCCCTAGTCTTTTTCTTAAATAGTTTATGAGTTAATTTTTTGAAGGTGTTAGTAGGGTGGTGTCAGTGGGATCGAAAACCACAACGTGATTTGTAATCTCTTTTTTTCTCTCTTTTTATTTTTTTTGGTAATTAAATGGGAAAGACATGCCCCTACCCATTTTTTAAAATAATTTAGAAATTAATTTTTTAAAAATGTTAATGAGGTGGTGTAATGAAAACTATAACATGATGACTAGAGTGTGGGGGTGCTACCACCACGACCCCTATCCCTTTTCTCTCTCTCTCAAAGTAGTTCGTAGAAGACAAAAAATTGTAAAGAAACAGGATAGTGGGTCATTTGGAGTTATGATAATGGGCCCATTAATGATATAATTCTTTATAGGTGGGGGTTAGATGGGATTCGAGCCTTGGTCCTTGAGTTGCCGGGCTTGTGATCCTAACCACCCTGGCAAGAGAGCCCAAGCCCCACCTAAGGGCCCATGGCATGTTGGTGCAATTCTCATGAGCTTGATGACCCATTGCATATGCTCTCACCTTGTGTTTTGTTCAAAAAAGACAAAGGGAGATGTCTTATCTTCTCTAACATGTCATGAGTGAGAAAGCTAGTAGTTTGTGGGATGTCTCTCATGTGTTCCCCAAGATGGCTAGAAAAGGCCAATAGGGTTGAACAAAATGGAGGTAAAGGATCCCAAGCTTCACACCATGATACCAGCTATTGGGCTAGGGTTTAGATGATTGCATTGATTTGTCACTTGGACCAAAAGTCATTCCCCTTGTTATCATAGACTTTTTGAATTGTCTATAGAGGGAGTGAATATAAGGATGATGAGTGATGAGAGCATCTCACAAAAGCCATGAGCACTAAAGATTACTTTATGCATTGTAAATTTGCGTGGGGGTAGAAAAATGGGAGGTATCATTGCCAACAAGAGAAAGAGGGGCATCAAGGACCCATTCCTCCACATCATTTGGCCTTATTCTATGTTTTGAGGAGAACCATATGTCTATGTTATAATTCTTCATATAATTGATCATTTTGCGCAGATAATGTGAACAAAAAGGAGATGCTACTTTGAAAAATCTCAATTGCCTAACCTATAGCCTTAACACCTAAAATCCTAAAGGGTTTCTTGTCACTTTTCACTATAATTCAAGACTCTACTTTTTAAACTTTATTAAAAATTATGTGAGGTCGTGTATCACGAGACCATTTATTTTTAGTATAATGGGTCACAATTAATTTTAAATATTGGATGTGAAATTCAATAGATGAAAGTGTCATAACATTCGAAATAGTTTGAGAATTTGTGTCTAAACAATGACACATTTTCAACTACCTAATTTCAAATCTAATAGTCAATCATGATTGTAACCTCTTTGTATCAAAAGCAACCGGTCTTATTGTATGCATTGCCAAATTATATGTGCACTTGAACGATGAATAATTATGATGTAAATTGTTTATTTGGGAAGAGGACTTCTATTTAATTGGTATGCGACAATGTTTTGAAACATGGATCGTCTCAATGGACAGCAAACTCCCCTACTCTACGAATCTAGATTGGCCCAAATAGGT